AAACAAATCTTCTCTACATCTAATTCCTCAGAAACGTCTTTAACAATTTTTATACAATTAAGCGGATGATTATCTCGTTCATTAACGACATCACCAGTCTTAATGATATAGTTGGTCATACAGTAGCAGTTCAAAAACATCTTCAACTACTGATTCAGATCAGCTGTCATATTCGTTTTATGATATACTTGTCCGCAAACAATAAAACTATAAATTAAATTCTTATTTATTATTCTGTTATCTTTCATCTTAAAGAATACTAGTGCAAAAGATGAATACATGATTCTTATTGTTCAGTAACATTCGTCCAAATATGAGCGACTACTCAAACAGAGACATACTAATTAATTTAAGAACTGTGGTTGCTCGATTACAATCAAAAATTATCGTCCATACAAATAGCATTCATCAATATAATTAAAGATTGTGAAATTAGAAACAGGAAAATTCATTGCACTGCCGTGAGTACACAAAACTTTGAACTGTCCCAATATGGCACTCATTTATATGTTAATAAATAAATAACTTCTAAAGCTCTGTAAAATTTTATGCTTCGAAGTCTTTATACTTCTAAGTGGTGCAACTGTTATTCGTAACTTTTACTGCTTATGCGTTAAGATCCACACTGTCGGGGATGCTCAAGATATTATTTACGTTACTCGGCACTTTACATATTGTGGTGCACATCATTGTATATATTCCAGATGTTGTTTACAATGTTCCCCATTTTCATGGGCAATACTTTCAGATTCATGCTGGTGTGGATCTTCTAAACTTTTTCCACGTTATTCCACGTATTCACTGTCCACAAGTTATGACACATGCTGGCGTATATCTTCCAGACGTTGCTCACTTTGTTCTACACTTTCACTAGCCGCATGTTGTGACGATGGCTAGCGTAGATCTTCCAGACGTTGTTTACGTTGTTACACACTTTTACTGGCCGCACATTGTGATGATCGCTGGCGTAGATCTTCCAGATGTTGCTTACGTTGTTACACACTTTTACTTGCCACACATTGTGACGATAGCTGGCATAGATCATCCAGATGTTGCTTACGATGTTACACACTTTTACAGGCCACACATTGTGACGATCTCTGGCGTAAATCTTCCATATGTTGCTTACGTTGTTACACACTTTTACTGGCCACACATTGTGACGATCGCTGGCGTAGATCTTCCAGATGTTGCTTAAGTTGTTACACACTTTTACTGGCCACAAATTGTGACGCTCGCTGGCGTAGATCTTTCAGATGATGTTTACGTTGTTAAACACTTTTACTGGCCTCACATTGTGACGATCGCTGGCGTAGATCTTCCAGATGTTGCTTAGGTTGTTACACACTTTTACTGGCCACAAATTGTAATGATCACTAGTGAACATCTTTCAGAGGTTGCTCACGTTATTCCATATTTTCATAGGGATCACGTGATTACGCACGCTGGCGTTGACGTTGCCCGTTAACGTTGTTGACGTTGCTACATTTCAGACGTTGCTCACGTTGTTCCTTACATTCATTAGCCACAAGTAGTGACCCGCGCTGGCATGTATCTGCCAGACTTTGCTCACATTGTTCTACAATTTAACTGGTCATACGTTGAGAAGAACGCCAGCGTAGATATGCGTCACGTTGCTAATGTTGTTCTACACCATAACTGGTCACACGTTGTGAGGAATGCTGGCATAGATCTTTCAGACGTTGCTCACTAAAAAAGTAGTCTGTAAATATAAGTTTTAATGGTTCAAAGTGCTGTGACCGTACCCACCGTTCGGTCGCATGCGACCGCTCGGGATTTGACGGACGCGTGCCATAAAAACTTATATTTATAGACTACTATTCTGTAAAGAAGAAATTGAATAAAACCAGTTTTATGGACCGTATCGTGTTTAATTTACTTTAGTTTTAATTCCCGACTTTCAGTAGTTTTAACTCACGATTAACATCTGTCAATAAAAATAAGTTACATTTAACGCGATAAAATATGTAACATTGGTTTTATTCAACGAATAGTGCTAGTTAGAAATTATAATTTCTTCCTTAATGTTTAAAGCCTTTTAAACTAATTACACAAAAAAGTAATAACATATATTATATGATGTATTTAAAAAAATGAACAATTATTTTTAAATTACATGAAAATAAACTAAATACTAAACTCAAACTTAAACCCTATCTGCTTAATTGAATCTGAAAATCTGATTCATAAAATATTTTGAAATTCTGTTTTCAAACCGATAGTTTCTGAACCATAGATTTTTTTCGTGGCAGCCCTTCACTATAGTTGTATCAAGGATGCATCAATCGAGCATCGATTGACCAGAAAGGGAGCTAATTCTTATTTTATTAAAAAGCGGGGTACTCATGTACAATACAGAAATTCTCGATATCGTAGGGTTAATATTAAAATGTAAAAAGACTAATAATAATAATAATAAATACGATCCTCTGTCATCTAGGCGAGCGGATGACGGCTGCGGAAAGCCGCATAAGGATAAGAAGGGGTATATTCCAGGGCGACTGTCTGAGTGTAATCTGGTTTTGCCTCTCTTTGAACCCTCTCAGTACTTTACTGGAGGGCTCTGGGAAGGGATTTCAGCTTCGGAAAGGCGGTACAAAAGTGACCCACCTTTTCTATATAGATGACTTCAAATTATTCGCCTCCAGTCGCTCCCATCTTATGGAATTGCTAAACATCACTTGTGAATTTAGCAATTCTATTAGAATGGAGCTAGGGACGGATAAGTGTGCGGTCCTCCATGTTGAAAGGGGAAGAGTTGCTAACTCTGAGGGCATAGACTTATCTATGCCCGTCAACTTAGGGGCCCTTTCCGAGGCTGAAACATACCGATACCTAGGTATGTCACAGAACATCGGTATCGATGAGGCTGGTATGAAACAGTCAGTTTGCGACGTGTTTTATGCACGCTTGACCAAAGTGCTTAACAGCCTTTTGTCCAGTGTGAATAAGACACATGCATATAACGGTTGGGTCATGCCTGTGCTCATGTATACCTTTGGCATACTCAGGTGGAGTCAGACTGAACTTAACGCCCTGGATAGAAAAGTCCGCACTACAATGACGTCCCATAGGATGCATCATCCGAGATCGTCGGTAATGAGGCTGTACTTGCCGCGAAAGCATGGTGGGCGTGGCTTCCTGAGCGCGCTCACCATGCATAATCGCGAAGTGTGCAGCCTCCGTCATTACTTCCTGGCGAGATCGGATGATCCATTCTATAATGACGTCATTTCTAGTGATAAAGGACTTACCCCTCTATCCTTAGCCAACGAGCAATGGCAAGACCCGGCAGTACAGAGCATTTCCGACCGGGAGACCGTACGGAAGGAGAAGGAGCTCCACGGGAGGTACTACAGGGCTCTACATGAGCCTCACGTAGATACAGCTGCCTCCCTCAACTGGCTACGTTTCGGTGACCTCTTCGGAGAAACCGAGGGTTTTGTCTGTACAATACAGGATCAGGTTATTAAGACCAACAACTATCGGAGATACATCCTAAAGGATGGCACTGTCGACGTCTGTTGAGCTTGTCGCCATCCCGGGGAGTCACTTAGGCATGTCATCTCCGGTTGTTCGGCGCTTTCTAACTCTGAGTACTTGCACAGGCACAACCTAGTAGCCAGAATTCTACACCAGGAGCTCGCTCTGAAATACGGTCTCGTGGACCGCCGTATTACTGCCGTATTACTGCCGTATTACCAGTACTTGCCGGAAGCCGTGCTCGAAAATTACCGCGCCAGGCTCTATTGGGACTGGGCCATCATCACAAACAGGACTATTCTTGCGAATAAGCCTGATATTGTGCTGATGGACCGGGCACATTTAAGGATATTTTTGATCGACATTACCATTCCGTATGACGAGAACCTCGTGAAAGCCGAAACAGAGAAACGAACAAAATATCTGGACCTGGCTCACGAGGTGACCGACATGTGGGATGGTATGCTGACCGAAATTATTCCTGTAGTCGTCTCTGCGAATGGGCTAATCCCAGTCAGCCTCTCGGGTCATCTGTCGCGACTGGGGCTCTGTGATGGACTGCTTCAGGCTCAAATGCAGAAGGCGGTGCTCCTCGTTACCGCCCGCATCGTCCGCCGGTTTCTTTCCCTTTCCTCCTAACCCTCGGCCGTTTTTGTAGTTTTTAGTTATTAGTTATTTGTAGTTTTTGTATTTATTTTATTGATATTTATGTATATTTATCTTTTCATTTTAATATATAATTATATATTTATAGAACCCAACCAGGTGAGAAAATTATATAGATACCCCAATAATAATAATAATACAGGTCGACCTTAAGGTAAAATTATGGTATTTTCGCTTAGTATTATTAAGACACTAAGTACTATAAACTATGAAATAATGGTACAATTAGGATAATTATAGTACGAAATCCGACCCTGGTTACATTGTGTTTCGATAATGTGACGTTTGTATTATGACAGGTGCGCTACTTTTTCTTGTATGAAAAAGTTATGAGTAAAATATTTAGATGGGCCTATCCTTCCTTTTGAAATCATTGACTTTTATTTATTTTTTTCGAATTTACGAAAAATTTATAAATGTGACATTAGTTGTTAAAATAACGTCAAAACTGTCAACGACATTATTTTGAAATCAAAAAACTGGAACAAGATAATTATATTCTTTTAAGTAATTACGATATCTTTATGCAATTTACATAATTTTATTTACTGATAAACTAACTTTGAAATGCAATCATAACTTTAATATTCATTTCAGTGCCCTTGTGGTCGTTCAGCTGCAAAAATATTTATTTAAAATATATTAATATATTCAACGTACCTAGGTCACATTTTATGCGTTTTGACAAGTGCCTCTTTATCACAACAAAATGTAGAATTCAAATAATCCTAGCACTTATAAAACCTGTTCTTTCATCTTTAGGTCTTTTAGTTTGATTTAAACAACAGTTGTGTCTCTAGTTTCAGTCCATTCGTGACACGAACATCAAGATGAACTCAACAGCTGCTCTCGGGCTACGGTTTCCAGATTGGGATTTAAACAAAAGTCAATGTGAGTAGATAAATATCTTGATTATTTACATAAAAAGCTTTTAAGAACTTTCACATAGTATACGACATTAAATATAATTAATTTTTTTTTGAATTTATTCTTATAAAGAGTGTACATCATTTATATTTTAATTTTTGCCAAACTGTAAGCCAGTTTGTCTATAATGTCAGTAACTTTAAGGCAGTTTTCTGTCAGTGAAGATAAATTGCCGTATTTCGGAACTCACAACTCGCACGTAACGAGTATATCCCCAAAAAAGTATTCCGGGTCTTTAATTTAGTTTTTGAACTTGACTGAGCAAGGCTGCAACTTTAATGGCTGAGGCAAAAATGGATCGGCTTAAATGGATCAGTTGGATCTGGGATGGGCCACGTTATGTAGAGAACCAGAGACCCTATTTAAACGAAGTATTCTCCTTTAGTCCTTAGAGATGACAACGCATCTACATAAAACGATTCTTAATCGAAAATAAATGTTGGTGTCAATGGTCCATTGCATCCACTTACCATCAGGTGGATTGTATGTTTGTTATCTTTATAGGGCTTACGTATTTTTACATATTATCAACTAGTACTCGATCAAGAATCTACCTGATAGCATAGTGTAGTCTTGGGTAGTAAAACGCACACAATCGTATTCACTATCTTCGTGAAAACGCTAAAATCCTCTTCGAAGGAAAGAGTCATGAAGGGAAATTCTTCTTCGAATCAAATTTGTATAATGGTTAGCTTAATCAGACAACAAAGTATTTGGCTATGAATTATCCTTCACGCCTAGTCGCTTAATTTAAAATTTTATTATTTATTTAATATTTTTATTAAACTTGTAATAGTTATAGAAATTTTTTTATATAGGATAGGGTGACAAACGACAACACAGTCCACCTGATGATAAGTGGTTTCTGTGGTTCATAGGCATCTACATCTATCCTCGACAGTCAAAATGCAGATGCGTTGTCATCCGTGAGGACTAAGATAGTATGCCTCGTTTCTAGTAAAAAGGGTTTTAGGTTCTCTACACTCACCACACGTAACACAGCAGCATTATGCACTATTTTACGCTGGTATTCTGTGAGAGCGTGGTCCTTCCCCGGTTGAGCCGACCCATTCGTGCTACAACTATACTACTAATATAACTGCAGCACTGCTCTACCACGTAGAAGAATGAAATACTAATGAAGTTATAGCTAGATTATACGATAGCCTATAGGACTGACTATACAATAGGTTGGTCAGGCTAAATACAGGCTTTTTAGGCTTACAGCTTTTTAGCTGTTCTCGGAGAGCATCAGAGAGATTGACGTGCCTCTGCGACCGAAACGACATTATCCATTATGGTTTTTTCGAACGCATTTCAAGATAAAAAGAAGTCCTACCACTTAGTTAACATAATCATAAGTCTAAAGACTAGTGAACTTAATAGAAAGTGCAAATTAGGGGTGATCGGGCAACAACTCCTTATATGAAAGTTATATTTGATGACCGCAATTATTAAAATAATCGTCATAAAGAACCAGAAGGTTTTGTAAAATACGTTAAAACCCGAATGTGCTCGATATTGTTTTTATTGATTTGATTAAATTCTCGATGGATGGCACTCAATAGAGCACAGGTGACAGACGTCAATATTTTAAAAGCATTTAGTGTATTTACGTCAATGGAACAGGCGTATTTGAATAAACGTGAATTTATTATAATGAATAAGGAATAAAAGCACAAAAATAATAAGTTAATCCTTTTAAATATGGAGTTTAGAAGTAAGGAGTACAGACTGTGTATTAAAAAGTGTCCATAGAAAACCGTTAAATAAGGGTGGCTACTATAGCTACGGGCTAAATTTTAAAGAACTTGCCGAAAAATATTAGTTAGATAGACGACTTTTTCGAGGTTATATTTACTAAATAAAATTATTTTTAGAGCTACTAAGCAGTTTAGCAGCACACTTCAAATATCGACCACTGCTAAGTTCATTTCATCCCAGTAGCTACTCCAGCGCTGTTGTGGAGAGTTTTTGAACTGTTATTTACTGCTTACAGATGGCCACTTTTTCAAATATTCTACTATGGGAGTTGGTACTCCTTCCTTCTATACTCCATACTTTTAAATTACGTTTTACATACATTTAATTTTTTTTACACCACACAGCGGCTATATGATGGCTGAGGCACGAATGGGTCAGCTCGGCCGGGGAAACAACATGTGACGTGTTACAAGTATTATGTATTTCGTATCGTATGTGTAGACAACCGGAGACCCTTTATATTAGCAACGAGGCATTCTAAGTGATTAGGGACAAAGCATCTATATTTTGATTCTTTATCCACTATAGCTATAAGTGTCTATGGGCGACATCATACATTTACAATCAGGTGAACTGTGATCTTGTTTATCATGGTTATTTCTATGCAAAAAGAGGCGATCGAAATTCGCAATGAAATCATGAAGTATAAAGTAAAGTAAATTTACATTCTATATACATCCCACTGCTGGGAATTGGTCTCCTCTCATTTCTGATAAGGTTTTAAGACAAGGAAGTGTCAAATAAAAAGTGGTAAAACAGCACTTAAAATTAAAATTAACAACCTTTGTGCTGGCGGGGATCGAACCCTGGTTTCCTGTATACTCTGGAATTCTACAGCGAGGCGACAAGCTTGAGCTACTACGGCTCATTGAACTGATTACAAGATTAATATTTACGAGACGTGTTTAATCATTACGAAGCTTACGTAGACCGCGGAGTCAAGTTCAGGGTAAAAGGGCTAACGCTACTTTTCTATTTTTCGTAATAATAAATCATAATATAAGAAGCAAAATACATCAATAATCAATGCATTTAAACGAATATATTCAAAGTTTTAAGTAAATACTACTCGCAATCCAAGAATTTTTCTATCTATAAAATATAGTTGGTTTTTGTTTAAAAATTCAAATATTTTATAAACAAAAACAATAGTTGGTTTTTGTTTATAAATTATTTGAATTTTATTGTATAAGGTGACAAACGAGCATGCAGTTTACCTGTCGATAAGTGGATGCTGTGGTTTAAAGACATCTGCTTCTATCATCGATTAAGAAAAAAATGTAAATGCATTGTCGCCTTTCGAATACAGATGCGATGCGTTGTGTCTAGTAAGAGTTTCTGGTTTTACAGACTCTGCCGCTTTATTTATAGCTATATAAAGAAAAATTATGCATATAAACATTCGGAACTATGAATGTGACTAAGAAAAAAGAGCTAGATTTAATAAAAAACTATGAAATAAAGTAAGAAGAAAAAGGTAAAGTTACAACATATACGTCCTACTGTGTTCAGTTCTCTTCTCATTTTTGAAAGGGTAATACAGCAATATGTCTGCCGCGCTACTTTTGTATGTGTTGGCGGAATTCTTACATCTTTATCAAAATATTACTCTTTAGATATGTAGCTTTATTTATCTTATACTTTGCCGCCAAGCACCTAGCGCCTAGGGGGGGGGATTCCACTCAAGACAATAACTGCGGAACAATAAGACAAAGGTTACCTATGCTCCGTAAATTCCCGCAATATCGTGGTACATCACTCGAACCTAAACGCCGTCCACTACTACCAGGAGACGGCGAAGCCGGCTCTGCTCTTTCTGACCTAGATTCGGGTATTCTCTCCGTCTGATGCTTCGTATCTCTCCTACCCGGAGAAAATACTGGAACACTATGTGAACTGGAACTGGCTGTTGTTTGCGTATACGTCAGAGACGCCATCTGTTCTCGACGCCTCTGCAGCCTTCAAGGTTCGGACCTGTCCATCCTTTGACTACGCGTAGACAGCGACGATCATGTTGGTTGGTTGGTCCAAGAAATTTTAACCGCACGTCTTCACCTATGAATTAACCGTTTAATATGGGAGAATTGAAATAAAAAATGCAACAATACTCAGCTGGCTGGTGGTAAGTATATTTAAGCCAAATCAAACAAGTAATCTACCAAACTTTTAAAAATACTACTAAATTATTTTTGATTTATAATATAATTAATTTTTTGAGAATTGATTCATACTTTGACCAAATTTCAAATATTTTTATTTATCTTTACCTTAATGATTTTAAAGTTTTTATAGTGATTTTTTTTTCATAAAACCTGATATATGTATCAAATTTTTAAATCTCGAAAAATACTGTTTTAATAAGAACAATAGATTAGTGGTTTGGTCAGATACCAAGCGTCCACGTCCCGTATCTAGGACGAGGACGTGATCTTTGTCTCGTTACAAACTAAAGAATAACAATTAGCTGAAAATAAAAATTTTAACTAATCAAAAGGAATAATAAATAGAGATCAAGAATTCGAGATTAGTGTAACCTTAAAATTGTTAAAAGCAACGTTAAAGTTAGGTTTAGTAAAAATTCGGAAAAAAGAAGAATTTTTGTTTTTATTATCCAACGTAAGTCGTTATAAAGGCCACGCTACAGCTATATTAAGGTTGTTGCACGAATGAATCGGCTCGACTGGGGAAGAACCACTCTTTTACAGAATATCATCGCAAAATAGCAGCTTAATGCTACTTTGTTTCGAATGGTGAGTAAAGAGATCCGGAGACCCTTTTTACTGAAAACGAGACATTCCGTCTGAAACCTCATAGGACGTAGGACATAGGATAGGATGACAACGTATCTGTATTTTGATTCAAAATCGAGGAAATTGTTGGTGTTTATGGGTTATAGCATTTACTTACCATCAGGCGAGCTATGTGTTCGTTGGTGACCCTTATTCTATAAAAGAATGTGTTACGTAATTTTGTGCACGATCAGATGGCGGAATCGAAACTAAGACCTTCCGAGTTCGCAGTCTGTATCCTTATCCATGAAGCAACTGTAATTTAACCTATTGCTGGATATTGGCGTTTCAAAATAAATATCAGTTAACTTATATTATCGTAAAAACGAAGACTGTTTTTAAAAGTTTACTAAAATTTTGCACCGAAGTAAATAATTATTTGCAAAATTTGTATTAATTAATTTATAGTTTACAATATTTTTCTAACCTTGTTTGTTCTTATTCATAAGCTTTATGTGTCAGTTAACATATTCTACCATAAAAGAGGCCCATACTTACTCTTCCCACAAAAAGGAATCACCTACATATGATATAGGTTTACTCTAGAAGAGCGAATAATATCTCTGTAACATGGTACCATTGTAGTATTTTTGAAAAAAAAAAAAACATCATCGGGAAGCGTTCTATATATTTGCGACGAAGTGCTATCGATCTGCTCATTGCGATGTAATACGAGTATATATATATATATATATATATATATATATATATATATATATATATATATAGCTGTAGCTCTTTAAGCCTATGATAGTTGACACTCCTGTTGACACTGACGGCTCCGTGGCGCAGTGGCTTAGCAGTGAGTTACAGCGCTAAGGGCCGCGACTTCGAATCATGCACGGAACAAGTTTTTGTATAACCTACAAATAATTGTTCTGGGTCTGGATGTCTGTCCTTGTGAAATTTATGTTTCTAAACTGCCCCCACGATACAGGAGAAAATTCTAGTGTGGGAGTAAAGTTTTTAAAAAAAAAATAGTTGACACTCAATATATAAAATATAACCCATTGGATCTGCCGCCTTATTTATCTCATTTTTTTGGTAATTGATACCTGCCACCGACTTTCAAACAAAGGGAAGAAATCCTCACATACTTCAATTCTACTCATTTCTTACTCTTCTAACTAAAAAACAGCAATAAGTTCACTGCTGTTTGGCAGAAATAGCCATGAGGGTGATATTAACCTCGAAATCCTACACAGAAAAGAAAGCCATCTAAAATGTTTTTTTTAATACTATTATTTTGATGAATTCATTTACAATGTTTTTTACGATTTTTAATCTTTTTTATAGACGACGAAATTGACAGTCTGCCAATAATGGCCACACCCGGCCCAGTTCTCATGATATTAGCTACGTATTTGGTATTTGTATTAAAGATTGGACCAGCCCTGATGGCTAAACGCAAACCTTTCAAGCTGACTGCAACGTTACTACTATACAATGGAATACAAGTCGTTCTGTCCTTGTATTTAGTTCAGAGGGTAAGTAAACACACTTATAAACTTTTTTTTATTTAATCTTTATTGTAAACACCCAAATAAATAGGCCAACAAAGGGCGGACTAATGCCTACTACCAGCAAGCAAGCAGCAAGCAGGACTGGCAGAGAATGTCCTAACTTGGTGCTCTTCTTACATTGTGTTCACATGCACAGGTGACTAGCCACCACATGAAGTAACCGTCTCGATGACAATCAGCTGCTCTAAGTACTTTTTAAAAACAAATGTAGTAATACAGGAACGTTGAAATAGCAATTTTGTACCATCGTTATAGTTTAAAAAAAAGTTTAATACGATGTACTTCTTTACCGGTGACATCGACCGCAAAGTGTGTCGTCACATCTTTTTTTAACTGTTACAGTTGAGATTCAGTTGCAGGTTAGTGCGAATAAAATGATTGATTGCTTACGAAAAAACAAATATCTGCTCTGACGTTGATCGCTCTTGATTATGACCGTTTAATACTAGAATATTTTAAAAGGTTGACAACTAGATAAGAGTTATGATTTTGACTAATCTAATCTAATTTAATTGCTTTAATTTTTAACTTCCCGCTAAGAAGTAGTAAGAAGTATATACACCTTTCATAACTTTCGAACGTCTTAATCGAATGAGATACGGCGTTCTAAAGATCTCAATGTGGAATAGATCTGGTGATAATATGAACCGAATCGAACGAGTAGATTTTGAGAAATCTCAAAAATAAAAATTTTGAAAAACTGTTTTTTTTTTGGAATAACTTTTAAACGGTTTTACCGATTGATTTCAAAGACTAATCAGCTCTTAACCTCAAAAAATGACGTTGAATGCCGTTTGGAAAATAAAAATCGGTTCATTCATTCGCGAGATTTTGAAGGAGAAAGAATTTAAAAAAAATTCTAACATAATTTCCAGATTTCGCAACATAATTTGGTGAAATTTGGAGCGCTTTGCATTTGAAGTTAGCGGTAATTTTCAGGGATGGCCTGCAGGGTCAACCAATTTTTTTTATTCATATCAAAGTCCACTGTGGAAAATAGGCTTTAGCATAGGTTGCCTCATAAAAGAATATTTGCTATAGTTGCCACGCTTGGCTGGTGGGTTAACAAACAGAGATTTTTTTGGAGCTGCTATCAGCGACAACCCTTCTGCCCATCTGCTTTTTTGATATTATTGCACAGCTATGACGTGGAACAAACCTATAATTATAATAATACTATTATAATCTAATAATAGGCCCTCACATATGAAATTGGCCTTTTGTATGAGAGGAATATAAAGTCAATTTTTTTTTGTAAAATATATTTAACAAATAATCAAAGTATGCAGCGTTGTTATACATACATTTTGTCATCTCATACGCAGTTACTACCTTTACTAGAAACCATGGGGGCGAGAATCAAACTCTTTGAAGGCGGTTTGGACTGCCGGATCGGAGTTTAATTTTTTTCACTGTAAGAAGTTGTCCGAATTCCGAAAAAATAGTAAGCTGTTGGAGCAAGGACCGGTGAGTACGATGAATCTCGCAGACATTCCAATTATAGCTCATCTAACTTAGTGGTTGTTTGTTTTGCAGTGTGTGGTCTTGCGTTGACGTGAAGCAGCAGTGCCCTAGAGTGATTGACCAATCTCAGTTATTTAGCAGCTAGTTCTTTCTTCATGGTTTGCAGTTGCTGACAATAGATATCTGCCGTAATCGTTATGCCGGATTTTAGAAAGCTGTAGTGAACGACACCGGCGCTAATCCACCAAACACTCACAAGTAACTTTTTCTGTGTCAATTTTTGTTTAGGGCGGTATTTGGCTGAGTATCCAGGGTTCAGCTACTGCGTCGAGTACTTCAGATTATCGTACAATATCCACTTTTCATCACAAGTAAGATTCGTTTAAAAATCCCTTCATTTTTGTGTCGGTTGCGCAAAGTAACACAGCAGTCGACGCGTGTTTGCAAGTTCGATTCACTCAATTCGTGAGGTACCCATCGTTCAAGTTTTTTTTTACTTTCCCGATTTGCTTCAAGTGGATTAGTACAGTTTTATCACTTACTCTGAAGCCTGCAGCTATCTCTAAAGTGCTTTGTGATGGATCCGTTTCCACAATAGCCTTTAATTCTTCATTTTCCACTTTGGTCTCCGGCCGTCCACGGGGTTGGTTCTGAAGGTCGAAATTTCCAGAACGAAAAGGTTGAAACCAAAAACGTACCGTGCTTTGATCAAAACTACTTTTACGGGTTTTATCGCTTATAATTTCAATTATTTTTAATTCCTGACGTTTAGGGTGCTTTCCAGCACCCATGTTCACGGGGGACTGAGATGACTGACGTCCCGATGTCATTGTTAAACCCGGAGTACCTTCAGCTTTTTCAATTATTGTTTATTGTCCAGTCTATGCAATAAAAAAACAATAATTGAAAAAGCTGAAGGTACTCCGGGTTTAACAATGACATCGGAACGTCAGTCATCTCAGTCCCCCGTGACCATGGGTGCTGAAAAGCACCCGAAACGTCGGAAATTAAAATTAAACATGATAAAATCCGTAAAAGTAGTTTTGATCAATGTTCACGTAAATATAAGAAATCATTATGTACCGTGCTTTCTTTTGTGACACCAGCGCCGTACACATCATTAATCCTTCAAGCTATTTCTGCAGCACTGGTGCGACGGTAGAACTCGTACTCGTAAATATACCGATATGTACATGTTTTCCGTTGTGCGGTAATAAGCGACGCCAAAGAAAAGAATAATGAAGAAAAAACAAATGAATGCCTGTTTCCAAAACTCAAATGTTCCAGCTAAATGAATTTATAAATTTGAATTTGGAATTCTTAACCAACGAGGAGATATTTCAGATCAAAATGGTTAGTACGACAAAACGCTAATTTCATATGTAAGGACCCAATACTACGAGTATATATATATACTATAAAAATGGGACTATAGGATTTTTTTAAATAAAAACCATTTCCTCTTTCTGCAGGAATTTTATTCGTTTCTGGCAGTGGTCCGTGCCATTGGTGTGAAAAGAGGACCAGTTTCTTCGCGCCTTTTCGGGCCAGATTGATAATTGCTATAACCTTTATTATATAAACCATTAATAAAGGATACGTAGACAGTCTTTGTTCTTGCCTGCACAATTATACTATAATTATTTTTCCATTATAATATGTATCGTTTATAATGGTACTACGAAATAAACCCATTCCCTCTGATTCCTTAAAAGAATCTTCTCTGATCATAATATTGGAATAAAGCAAAGCCCTTGTTATGATAATGTCATGATGTTATTACATCCTCTAGACCGAATTTCAGTCACGACTCAACGGAGACTAGCCATTAACGTGGGATCGGACTGTAGTTCACGAGTGTATGTTTAAGTACTGGTTTAATCTCTATTCCTTTACTTTTATAAGTACGATTGGATGGCAACCTGGCACGAATAGTGAGATCAGGCACTGAACTAACGGACATTATTTATTTTACAAAGCATAGAGGTGAAACACCGACACCCTGACCGCGGGCTAGTAGTGAGAATTTATTGACATAAAAACCCAATTACTGGTTTCGGTCCGACTCGAGATTCGATTTCGGGACCGATTTATGAGCGCGCTTACGTCTACTAGACCAGTCAAAAGTTATCATAATATTGTGCTAACAAGTACTTGATCAGTACGTAGTTGTTGTTTCAATACCTAATTCACAATTAGTATACATGCCGTAGTCAGTCTGACCGTGAAGCTATTGTTCACGGAAAAATCACAACAATTTGTAAAGTCACACATTATAAACCCAATTGACTTTACCGTCGCGCAAAAACAATTAAATTTATGTGCATACATTGTTTTTTCATTTGTATTTAACCAAACGCGTGTACTTGGTGTCAGTTGTATATATAAAATGAACACTGTCCATCTTTAGACCTTCACTTGCGTAATTAACGATTTCTAAGTCTGTTTGATGGCGTGAAGTGAAGCAGTAGGAGCGGTGACACTACTAGTGTTTCGGCTACCTCGATACTTTGTGCAAACAGTCCAAAGAAAAATGGCGAACTCCCAAACAAATATTAGTTGACTTTTTTTCTTGCGTCTTCAAATGCAAAATATGTAAAAATATAGATTTTAAAATTCTGAACATTTTTTTTCGGTCATACTACTGCAGGAAGTCAGGAATTAAAGATATTCCAGTTTAAACAAGAAACACATGAGACTAGCTGTATGGTATAAAACGCCTTAATTGGCAAATCGTTACAACACCAACCAGTCAATATAATTTTCATATATGTTTATATAGTGTAATTACTAGCATAGAGGAAATCCTTAAAGAAAGCATTAGTATATATATATAGAAGAGTTTTCTGATTAAAATACCCATCAAACTCGTCTGTATGGTATAAGATCTTTGCATGTCCTAACTGACGAATCGTAACAACTATAACAGTTTTATTATTATAGTCATTTAAGTTTTGAATTGTGTATGATGATTTTTTTCCAGACTTCGATAGGCTATAAGCTTGATTAAATAATACATAGTAAATCATTTTATTGATATCTGTAATGGTGACATAAGTAGACGCTTAATAATTCAATCAACTATTTGCCACAACAGCTAGTCAATTTAGTTTTAAATTAGGTAAGATGATTTTTTCCAGACTTCGAAAGACCATAAGCTTGATTAGATAACACAAAGTAAATTATTTTATTGATATCTGTAATGGTGACTTAAATAGATGCTTAATAATTTCATCAAATATTATTTCGCCATAGTCCTTAAATCAAAATCCAAAAGCTAACTTTACAAGAGTGTTTTACACGAGGTAGAACTATGCTGTAGCTATGTTATAGTTGTAGCACGTATGGGTTAAATCAAGTGGGGAAGGATCATGCACTTACAGAATATCCGCGTATAATAGCAGCTTAATGATGATATGTTTAGTATGGTGAGTATAGATAACTGGGCACCCTTACTACAGATGAGGCATTCGATCTAATCCTTAGGGGTGACAACGCATGTGCATTATGATCCTTATCGAAGTTGGGTGGATTTATATGGCTTATATGGATTCATCTACCTTTTTATATAAAAAAAAACAAGCACACAGTCCACCTGATGGTAAGTGGATGATGTGGCGCCTAGACATCTACATTTATCCTCGATTAAGAATCAAAACGCAGATGCATTGTCACCCCTAAGGACTAAGATGGAATGCCTCGTTTCCAGTAAAAAAGGGTATCCGGATCTCTACACTTACCTGATTACCGAGTTGTAGATTATCCAGGGTGGTGATATGTAACTCTGGTGGAAGTCGTGGTTTCCATTGTTGTGGCGTTTGTACGTACATTGCTTTTACAATAAAAACCATAACGCATTGCCGGAGTGATTCTCACCAACCAACGATTCTCAACAAAGTTATAAAATTACAATGCTGGATTCGAAATTTGAACAGTTCCAACGCATGTGTCAAAAAACAAATTGCCGGTTTTTGTTCTGTTTCTACTTTGATTGGGTGTTTTGGTTTATATGCTCGTCTATGTACCTATCCAATCCCTTCATTAAAAGTGATTACATCTTTAATAAAGTAGATAATAGTATATGATCTGTACAAATATCTTATGATACGCTGGAATCAAAATATGTCATGAGAATACATTTAACATTAACAAAATTTGTTTCAGTACTTTCGAAATTTGCTGGACATGGGTTTGACACCGAAGAAGTGCTTCATCCAAGACAATAAATATCGTGACCAGGTACAAGTTTGTAATTATTTTTTTTTTTATATAGAAGAGGGGGCAAACGAGAATAAGGTTCACCTGATGTTAAGTGTCTTCCGCTTTATTATCATTATTACTATAATTACTTACCACTTCAACTTATAACTAAGTCCAAATACTTAGTTTTTTTATAAGTCAGTGCTTGACTGCAATCCCACTTGGTGATAAATAGTGATGTATCCCTAAGTAGAAAAGCTTTTTTGCTAGCGTTGTAACAGCCGTGTTACTCTTGCCTTGAAAATTAAAATAAAGTGCTCGAAGGGAAATATAGATAATAAATAAGAATAGCCCTAATATTTTTTAATTTCTTTAATACAGATGTTCGACACAGATGTTTTGTTATCGTTATCAGTTACAAGAGTTTTCGGTTCTCGCGAGTACTCATTAGGCTATGTAGGTATTTATTATAAACGAAATAATACAGAAGTAGCAGTGTGAAGAAAGTCAATATGTTAGGATATTTGTTTATATTACCAGATCTTAAATGACACGTTTAAGAAAAAATTTAAAAATTTAAACCAAAAAACTAACCTTTTTTATCCGAAATTTTAATCATCTACATTTCGTATTTTATTAGCTGTCATACTTATTGTTCATCAGGTGTGACAAAACTTTGTCAACTTATTGTTTTGCACTTACGTGAAGGTTATAGGCATAGTACAACTAACTTACAGTAGGTGTCACGTGTATCGTACCTTCAAATTTACTTGAAAGTTATATATCAATCAATTGCAATGAATGTAGTATTATCATTCCTAATTCAACGATATAACTCCTCCAAATTTAAAACGATATTTCCACAATTATTTACTACGCGGAAGCAACATGCCGAGTACCAGATGAAAACGGTTCGATGGATTTTAATGAATCGGGGTGACCAGGAAATCTGGTGAGGTGACGATGTCGGCCTGCACTCACCAACTCACCTTCCCAGCGTCATTGAATATATTCTTGAATGTAGTAATGGAGTATCGTAAGTCTTATGAAGAAAAATCGGGGCGTGAGAGAGAGTGGGGGGGAGGTTGGGGGGTGTGTGTGTGTGTGTGTGTGTGTGTGTGTGTGTGTGAGAGAGAGAGAGAGAGAGAGTGTGGGAGAGAGACAGAGACAGGAAAGCAAAACTTACATATGTTTTTATTACAGATTCTGCTTGGAATATGGCTATACTTCGCTGCTAAAGTTACAGAACTTCTCGACACAGTTTTCTTCGTTCTAAGGAAGAAGGATAACCAAATCACGTTTCTACATTTGTATCATCATTCCATCATGATGATTGGCACATGGACTATTCTGAAATATTGGCCGTCACACACACTTATCTTTATCGGATTTCTTAATTCTCTTGTTCATGTCTTCATGTATACATATTATGGGCTGTCAGCGTTGGGGCCAAATGTAGCTAAGTACTTGTTTTGGAAAAAACATATGACTACGTTTCAACTGGTAAGTGAATATTAAAAATTATATTTCTTACAAATCTTTAATCGAAGTTACACAAATGTTGATTTTTTAGCAAATTGCTAAAAGTGATGTTTTTATTATTACTATAACTTATTTTAATATCACATATTAAGAACTTTACTATGTATATATGTAATACGCGCTGATCATGTTTGGACGAAACCGTTCGTTAAATATATAATTAATAAAGATTTACAGTATAATGATGGATATTCTTCAAGTGATCACTATCACAAGTACTAATTACATTATAATTATTACTTATTACTTATCTATAAAGAGTTTTTAATTATAATACGTATGTACTGGTCAGCTCGACCAGGATAAGACCACGCTGGCGCAGAATATCAGCGTAAAATAGCAGCTTAATGCTGCTTTGTTTCGTATGCTGGATTTAGAGAATCGTACACTCTCTACTGAAAACGAAGCGATGTCGTTAGAGGTAATAGAGGGGAATGAAACAGGAGATTGCATCATATCAGTGACATGACAAGTGCATGAAAATAATTTAAAATCATAAAATGACGGTGGTTGCCAACCCGCTTGCCAAGCGTGGCAGCTATGGTGAATAGACATTTAAAGCAAATGTGTGGGGGAGGCCTGTATTCAAAAGAGGTTTTCGGATACGTTGTAATGAATGAATGAATACGTGCCAGGCAACGATTACCATGATCCCATTTTCTAGCGGAAACTTTATTAAAGTGATTGAACCAGTCTACGAAATAAGTTTTATTTAAAAGCTTCATTTAAAGTGCTAAAACAAATTATATAGAACAATTAAAGCCATGACTTTTAAATGTGAAATTATTTCTATATGTATAACTGACTATTTTTTTAATCATAAAAGCATCTTGCTTATAATTTGACTGTATGTTTTTTTTTGTGTACTGTTAAACAATTTCTTCGTTAATCGTAAACCAGTTAAAAAGGTAAAGATACATTTCAGAGAATGTCCCATATAGGTTTAGAGAAGAAATTCAGGTGGCAAAATAGGTGATGAAGATTTAATGTAGCTATTTAGAAGACATTTAGATTATGATAAACTTTACACGTATAGAGATACTTCATACGTGGTAGAGCCATGCTGCAGTTATATTAGTATACTACTAAGTTGTAGCACGAATGGGTCGGGACGGCCGGGGAAGGACCACGCTCTCACAGAATACCACCGTGAAATAGCAGCTTAATGCTGTTGTGTTTCGTATGGTGAGTGTAGAGAACCGGAGACCGTTTTTACTGGAAACGAGGCAATCAATCTTAGGCATCACGTTGTCGCATCTGCATTTTGATCTGTAATCAAGGATAGATGTGGATGTCTACGGGCCGCAGCAACCGCTTACCATCAGGTGGACTGTGTGCTCGTTTGTCACCCTAACCTATAAAAAATATGATACTGCGTAGTAAACTCAATAGGGTAAAAAATAACTAGGAATAGAGTTTTTTCTCCAAGTTTATATTATGAGGCTGCCAGATCACGTTATAATTTCAGGAGTTGTAAACAGGAATGAGAAAATTCTGTAACGTTGAGGTTACATACGGCGTGTAAACTGTTTGTCGTCCTCCTTAATAAATCAGATACTAAGTTGAGTAATACTGTAATATAAAATATCTGTTACAGGTACAATTCGTTTGTATACTTATTCAGTACGTCGCAACTGAGAAAAACTCCGAATGTCCGCCAGCGAAGGGCGTCGCAACATTCGTCGCCTGTAACACGAGTTTCATTCTGATTCTTTTTTTAAATTTTTACCGCCATAGTTACAAGCGGAATACACATGAAACAAGCAAAAGCAACGGACTTGCGATAAAAAAAATTGATAGAAGAAATTACCAGTGATAGCATTATATAATAACAGTATGATATTGTATCAAATTTCACATTCTTAGTCTCACTCTACGCAAGCAGTTTTGAACCATTGCATCATTCTGCTGCCACCTCTCCAGAGATTGTATTAAATATCCCTAATCCCTAATTGTATTATATATTTAGTTTAATTAACTAAACCAAAATGACTCAACAGTGTTTTTGTAACAATCACAGTTATATTCGTCCCTAACATTAAAATGTTTTTTGATTGTCACTTACCACGTTTTCTTCATCCACGGGTTTCTAATAAAATATCATGATACCGTAATATAAGAAACTTTGAGATCACACAGGTTTGTCAACTTGCTAGAAAATGGCAAATGACGTTAACATATGAGGAAATTGAGGATATAGTCAAACGCCACTAGCGAAACACACACGCACACGTACACACGCACACACACACACACACAGCAGAGAGATAGAGAGAGAGAGAGAGAGAGAGAAAGAGAGGGAGAGGGAGACTCTTTCAAGTAAAATTGCACTACACCGTGATACTGTTACGCAAGGGGCCGAGAGTTCGAGTGTCGCCCGCACGAAAACCTCTCCCCGACACACCAATTATTCGCGCAACAATGCCTAGCACGTCATAAGACATGCTAGTCCCGAGCATTATCGGCCCCATAATAACGCGCCAGGCTATCCACATGGAAGTTCTTAGGAGACCCTCTTGCGCCTTTCTGTATCCGGTAGGTTACATCGTTGATCCTGGTCACAATCCGGTATGGGCCGTCCCATTTAGTTTGAAGCTTAGGAGATTTCCCTTTGCTGCGGACTGGATTGTGCAACCACAGTAGCGAACCTTCGTCGAACCCTTTGTTGTTTATTTTGCGGTCATACCGGGTTTTCATCTTTTCAGACATTTGCTGGCCCGATTGTCTGACGTACTCATAAGTGTCATTCATTTTGTTCCGCAAGTCATTTGCATAATCGATTATACTGCGTGGGGCATCAGGTGGTATCCCGGTGATCAGGTCTACAAGCAGCCGTAATTCTCTTCCAAAGTTTGCTAAAGCTAGTGTCACTGCTGTACTTTCGTGAACAGCGCTTCGATATGACAACAAAAACGGTTGTATGTGTTTGTCCCAATCTCGTTGCCGATTGCCTACAACTTTTGCTAGGTACCTCTCCAATGTCTGATTAAATCGTTCTACCATTCCATCAGATTGCGGGTGATAAGAAGTCGTTCTTGTTATGTGAGTACCCATAACTCGGCAAGTTTCCTGGAATATTTGATACTCAAAATTCCTGCTTTGATCGCTGTGAATCTCTAAAGGTTCTTTAAAACGACAGAAGACTTCTTGAACTAGTTTATCCGTAACTGTTGAAGCTTCTTAATTTGGAATGGCGAAGACTTCTGGCCACTTAGTGAAGTAATCCATCGCAATCATGAAATACTTGTTACCGCTTTCACTCTCCGGAAACGGTCCTGCCACGTCAATGGCTATTCTGTTCCATGGTGCACCAACATTTTACAACTTCAATGCACCTCTACTACGAGTCTGAGGTCCCTTTATAGCCGCACAGCTTGTACATTTGCGACACCAGTCCTCGACATCGTTTCGACAGTGGACCCAGTAAAACCGTTCTCGGATCTTCAGTAGAGTTCGTTTAACTCCCAGATGGCCTCCTGAACAATCATTATGGTACAGCTGTAGAACATCCGGTACTTTAGCTTTAGGGAAAACCATTTGCAAATGACAGCTGCCTTCCCGAACATTTTCCCATTTACGGCACAGAACTCCATCCTGAAGCAACAAGCTGTCCCATTGGGCCCAATAGCTTTTAGTGGTCGAATTCATCGCTGAGACGTCGCTCCACTTGGGCTTGGGAGCGCTGGCCTTCATCCATTCCAGAATCGGCTTGATGTCCGGATCTTCCTGCTATGCATGTTGTAAGCTGTCCTTCCACTCGTTGCTGAGGTAGTCTATCCTGAGCATCCTCACGGATACCACTTCCTTACTCTCCTGCCTAGTACAATGTTTGCAATCTTCAGGACAAGGTCTTCTTGACAATGCATCTGCGTTGCCATGAGATTTCCCGCTGCGATGTTCGATCTCAAAGTCATATTCCTGCAGTAATTCAATCCACCTCGCAACTTGTCCTTCTGGATTTTTAAACTGCAATAGCCATTTTAGTGCAGCATGGTCAGTTCTTAAGTGAAATTTTCGCCCCAGAAGATATTTGCTAAAATGCTGCAACGACTTTACCACAGCTAGTAATTCGCGTCTTGTGACACAATAGTTCCTTTCCGGTTTTGACAACGACTTGCTGAAGTACGCTATCACGACCTCTTGGTCACCATTCCGTTGAGACAACACACCGCCAAGTCATATGTCACTTGCGTCTATGTCAACTATAAATTCTTTGCTTGCATCAGGGTATCCCAAAATAGGTGTTTTGCACAAACGGTCCTTGAGCTCCTGGAATGCGATATTGCAACTTTCATCCCAGCAGAAATGTCGCTTCTCCTCGGTTAGCTTATGCAGAGGTTTGGCTATATCTGCAAAGTTCTTCACAAATCGCCGGTAATAGGAGCACAAACCCAAAAATGCTCTAACCTGCGTCTTGTATTTTGGAATCGGCCAATCCTTGACAGCGGCGATTTTCTCTGGATCCGTGCGGATACCTTCTTCCGATACTACATACCCCAAAAAGTTAACTTGCCGTTTGAATAGTGAACATTTCTTCGGACTCAACTTGAGGTTGGCACGCTGAATCTTCATGACCACGTTCCAGGTTTTGAAGGTGTTCCTCAAACGTACGGCCTACGATGATGATGTCATCCAAGTAGACCAGACAGGCATCGCCAATTAGCCCGGTAAGTACAAGTTCCATCAGCCTTTCAAACGTTGCTGGAGCATTGCACAACCCAAACGGCATTACTTTAAATTGTCACAGACCCTTTCCCGTCGATAACGCAGTTTTGTCCTTGTCCTTAGGGTCAATTTCAACTTGCCAGTAGCCACTTTTTAGATCCAGCGTGCTAAACCACTTTACTCCTGTAAGCATGTCCAGCGTGTCATCAATTCTTGGCAAGGGATAGCTGTCCTTCTTCGCAACGTCGTTCAGACGGCGGTAGTCAACACAAAACCGCATGCTGCCATCCTTCTTCTTTACCAGCACCACTGGTGAACACCATGGACTAGAGAAAGGTTCAATAACACCATCCTTCACCATTCCTTCAATCATGGTTTCCACTTCCTTTTCACGTGCTACCGGCAATCTTCTTGGCCGCTGACGGATAGGCAATTCTTCTCCTGTGTTTATTTTGTGTTGAACTAAGCCCCCAGGAAAACATTGCCAATTTGTTAAGAACACGACAGTCTTCAAAACAACCCCCTATATGCCACCGCGTACAAACCAACGGGCCTTTTTCTATAATCTGTTCCCGGTCACAAAGGTTCAGCACACGTATTCCTGAGATGTCAGTGGTCCTGACCAAGGTTCGAGCTACTTTCGATGGAAGGTCATTGTTTATCCTTTCCACAAGTACACAACGGTGAGCTTGCCTAGCGTTTCGAGAAAGACTAACCGGAACAATCGTTTCCGATCTCGGCGGAAGAACAATCTTCTTAATGCTGTACACGTTCCCTGGTAACGCACCTTCCATAAAAAGTTCCTCCTGTCCACATTTCAAAACACCTTGCTTAACGTCGATCTCACAACAATTACTCCTCATAAAGTCTGTCCTAGGATGAAGTCGTCCATTATATCAGCCACGATGACATTATGCAGGTAGATCACGTTGCCTAGCTTCAACTCCATCTCCTTCTCTCCACGGATGGGTATACGCTGACCGGTGGCTGTTACCAAATTAATGCGTTCTCGGTATGCGGAGTCCCCAAGGAACTGACTTATAAGTTGGGAACTAACAACCGTACGAGAGGCTCCAGAGTCTATGGTCAGTTTACATGGCATTCCGTTGACCTCGCCCTTGATGATTAGACTGTTCCCATCATGGGTTTGTGACATCGAGATCCTTGGGGCTCTTTTGACATCAGCCAGCACCCGCCCCGCAGTTCTGGCTTTTACTCGTTTCCCTGCTGCTGCTGGGTGGTGCTGTTGGCCGCACTACCCTCTTGAGATAGTTCACCTTCCCTTTCTAGGGTTCGCTTATGGCAGCTGGATCGAAGATGGCCCTTTCCCCACAGCCATAGCACCTAGGGCTGTATATTTTGTTACGGTCGCGAACTGTAGCTGCTGCAACCTCCCATACGCGATGGGAACGATGATCCTGCCACACGGCTTCCACCTCCAGTGCATGGGCCAAGGCGTCCTTAAACGTCTCGTGGTGCCCGAGCCTTACAGCAGCTCTGACTTTCAGGTCGCGGATGCCGTCGATGAATGTCTGCACCAGGTTCCCTTCAATGAGCGTAGGTACAGACCGGTATGCTTTTCGCACCAGCATCTCCACCTCTAGAGCCCACTGCTGCAGGTTTTCGTTGATGCGCTGCACGCGATCTTTAAGCTGCGCACGAAAGACGTGTTCCAGGTGAGCGTCGCCATATCTCGCCTTCAATGCCTCAAGGAGTTGCTCATAAGTCACTTTCGCACTGATAGCTTCCAGAACTGTTAAGGCCTGGTCGCGCAGGCCTAGTGTGAGAGCAGTCATGGCCTGACTTTTATTCCAGCCGTTCGCCTTCATAACAGCCTCAAACTGGATTTTGTAGGCTGACCAGGAAAAAGTCCCGTCGGACGGGAACCCACGTAGCGAAGGTGTTGTAGCTACTACGGGAGCTAAAGTTCCACCTCCAAGTGTGAGTTCGTCCAGTGATTTCTTCATGTCAGCCATTACGTTGTCAACCCGATCGTTTACTTGATCGATTCGGGTTTCAGCTT